AAATAACTACTCCCCAGGGTAATTCAAACTAATTACTCCCCAGTGCTTCCTGGGGCTCTGAGTCAAGGTAGTGCATTCACATTAACAGATCTTGCCTTGGACTCATTTCGAGGCTTCCCTGTAGTGGGGACACGCTAGTTCGATTTTGTAAAATCAAGAGTTAAGTCAAATTTAGTTATTTCAAAATAGTTTCCTAGTGTAGGCATGGCCTAGGAGTGTACAATCCCAGTTACTATTCCTTCATGCTGCCATTTGGATTTTCTTGATTCTACACTAGCTCAGACAGCCCTCCCTTGGCTGGCTGGGATTGAAGTCCAGGATTTGGAATTATATGTAAAAAATGTCTTTGACTCTCCAAAAAATGGCACCTGCTGTCCCCAAAAAGCTGAGTACAGAGAGCGGAGGACTAATTCGCTGGTTGGTTGTTTTATTTGGAGTTTAGGTCATGTGACTGTGGATTCAAAACAGCCAGGTTTTATGAGCAATCAGTAAATGTAGTGGAGAGGTGGGGTATTTTTGGTAGTTTTAACAACTAGATCTGAGAAAAATAAACTAAATAAATGCACGCTCCCTTGACAGACCTGCATTCAAAGGGCTCTTAGGGTCTCTGTCACCTGAGGTTTAGGGAGGAAACAAAAGTCACAGCTATGATACAGTCAAGAATCTTGAGATCACATTTATGATGGAGTATCATTCTGTCCTCCTTTCCCATGAGGACACATGTGATTGCTTCCTCCAGCAAAGGAAATTGAATACTTTTGACTTTTTCAAGTTCTTAGCTTGCGAGAACAGCGTTTGGGAAATTTACTGAGAAGTTTATAGTCAGCCTGGATTTATGTGGGTGGCTTTCCACACCAGGCCTAAGGCAGGTGTCATGGGGAGAAGGGGGGGAAAAGAGGGACAAAAGAAAACCCTTTGCTTTTCAGGACAGGGAATGCTGAATTCATTGCACCAGAATTAATCCACTGTCTGTCTTAATCATCTAGAATTTAATCAAAAAGCTTGGGAGGAAAGGGGAGTTTACAGTAACTTGTGGGGCATTACCCATGGGTTCAGCTCTTTCTTCTCTAGGGAACTGGAAAAGAGTTTGACAAGTTGCAGATCAATTTTTCATCTCATTCATGCCTCTCCAGATGTTAGCTTCTATGTAAATAGAGTACAGCCCATTGCCCACATCGTGTTACTGATTAACCACTGCAGCAGACTGGGATCTTGTGCAGTTTAACCTTGAACTAGTCACTGTTCCATGTATTTATCTCTTAAAATAAATTAAAACCTAATTACATA